AAGAGTGAATTGCAACTAAATAAAGCGGTTGTCAGTTGCCAAATCAGCTTTTATCTACAATGCAGTTGCGTGATGTCCACCATTTTCTGAATTATCAAGAAAGTCGTGGAAAAGCTTAAAATTAATGGCCTTGTATGAACCTTATGGTAAGCGGATCAAAAAGTTAATTAGATGAAAGGAAGTGTCTTGTTGACTGAGTGGACTTGCATCGTTGAATGCAAGGTTACACAGTGCACAGTTAGCTCGATCGCTTCCAAACTATTTTTTGAAAGAAGAAGACAAGATCACGGGTCGCGTAAGGCTCAGCCAAAGTCTCAGTTTTCCGCATCCACAGGAAGGCCACCACCCTGCAGGATCATTTGAAAGAAGGAAATCCATTGACAACTACTTGTATTTGATATGATTAGGAGGACTTCAAAACGAAAAACATCAGTTTGAGAAGTGAACTGTTTGAGAAGAGAAAACAGATAGGTGCACTCAGTGACTCTTTACATTTTACAGGCTACGTTATACTTCTGAAGTATCATTATAATTTTTTTTAAGCCTTTGGATCTTGTCTCTTATTTTTTTTTTATTTTTTATTTATTCAACATCTCCTGGCCCGTCCGAAGACTGCCAATAAACATGAGAGGTCAGGTGATAGCCAACCACGGCAAGCTAAAAGGGAGAAAAAGAAAGATGCTGTCAGAGAGGGAAAGGAGATAGGGAGAGAAAAAGAAAGGGAGGCACATTAGTAATACATGGGATCACTTCGGATGAGACAGTGTGGAAAGCTGGACTTTGAATTTCCTGATATCCTGGCATGACTTAATGCTAGTAGGCAGGTTAGACCAAAGGGAGTATGCTGAGAAGAAAGGGGATTTCAAAAACAGAGAGGAACTAGCTCGGGGCAGTGATAAGGCATTGCGTGTTGGTCTAGTGGTAACAAACCAGTTGTACTTGGCAATATGTTTCGGGACTTGGGCTAGGAAGATTTTTTGCACAAGGATACAAAGATGCTGCTGATGTCGGGCAAGAAGAGGGTGCGTGGAAGCAAGTTTATAAAGACAAAGGGAGGCAAATGTTTGGTCTTTTCGAAACAGAATTTTCAGAAGCAAGCGTTGATGTACTTCCAGTCTGTGGAGTAAAGTCTGAGACAACCCGCACCAAGCTATATCGCAATAGTCAAATATAGGCAAAATGTACGACTTAAAGAACAATTTTCTGCAGTTATCATTCAAGTGTTGGCAGTGGGGTTGTAGCATACCTAAGGACGCACTCGCACGCTTGCACACAGACTGGACTTGTGGAGACCAGGAGAGTTGGCGGTCGAGAATAACGCCCAGGTGCTTGTGCTCGTTAACAACTTTAATAGGTGTACTATTTAGACCAGGAAAATACAGAAGCTGAGTGGGGGGCGAGGGAGAGAAGAACATGGCCTCGGTTTTGGCGAGGTTGGGCTTCAGTTTCCAGGTTTCCATCCATGTTACTGTAGCGTTGACCCCGGACTGCATGGAGGCCGTGAGGTTGTCTGCCGAGCTGTCGGAGCACATCAGAGCAGTGTCGTCAGCAAAAAGACTTACATTTGGCACAAGGGCTGGCAAGTCATTAACGTACAGTAGAAATAGGAGCGGCCCAAGTATGGACCCCTGGGGTACCCCAGACACGACTAGTAATGGGTCTGATAGGGAGGTAGATACTCTGACAGTCTGGTGGCGGCAGGAAAGACAGGATGAGAGCCATTGCAGGGCTGGACCATGTACCAAGAAGACGGACTCTAGCTTTGCAAGCAGACCACGATGCCAGACGGTGTCGAAAGCTTTCGCTAGGTCAAAGAACACGATGCCAACATGCCGCCTGAGGTTCCGCTGGGTGTAGATGTCTTGTACTAGACGTGTTAGTTGGAAAGTTGTGGAGTCTCCACGGCAGAAACCGGATTGAGATGGTGAAAGCGCTGGGGTGACGTGGCAGTACAGAGACTCAAAGAAAATACGTTCACAGACCTTTGACACAGCGGGAAGGAGAGAGATTGGTCTGTAGTTGCCAGCCTGAGAGCGTTGGCCTTTCTTATAGATCGGGACGATAACAGCAGATTTCCAGACGGACGGAAATACTCCTGTACGATATGACATGTTAAAGAGCAGGCACAAGGGATAGGACAGAGATGGCGCAAGCCATTTGAGAACCTCATTGGGTATGCCATCTTCGCCAGGGGACTTACAATTCTTCAGGAGTTTGAGGTGCTTACAGACGGTAGCAGTCGTGGTAACGACGCGTGTGAGTGGTGCGCTAAGTTCAGGGGCTGGGGACAGCGATGGAATGTCCCAATTCGGATCCTCCGGAATGCCGGATGAAACAAACTGCTTGTTCAGTGTGTCTGCAATCGCCTTCACATCGTGCTGGCGGTTGCCATTGGAGTCCGTCAGGTACTGGATTGGCGCGCGGGAGGTCCCGCGGCACTGGTTGCGAATGAATTGGTGGAGTGATGGGCGATCGGGGGAGGAGAGTGTTGCAGAAAGAGAGTTTAGAAAGGAGCGGTGTGAGGTACGAGAAAGGTGCTTGACGAAGTTGCGTTGAACTCGGTTTTCTCTTAAGGACATGTAAAAAAAGAATAAGAAACAGTGCCAACCCCACCAAGACTCGAACCCAGTATCGTGCTTGCCATGAGCAATGCTCTAGCCATGCGAGCCATGGAACCAGGCGAAACCTAGAAGGCGCTGACAGGGTTTTCACTTCCTACTGAGAGCAATCCAAGAGCTAGAGTAGGACCCTGGCTTACGTGTCACAGCTTCCACTCGTATGGGTTCAAGTGATGCGCACGCTCATGTCACCAGTACTAAGATATCTTTACTTATAAAAAAGAGGCACCTGTGACGTGTGTCTGTGTGTTACGCTCAGGCCATCCTGCGGAGCAGCGCTGCCCTGAGCACGCGAAGCGTGCGAACAGTGTAGCTAGCGGCCGCAGAAGCACTGAGCACGCGAAGCGTGCGAATCGTGTAGCTAGCGGAAGCAGCCACAGAAGCACTGAGCACGCGAAACGTGCGAATCGTGTAGCCACCACCACGTGCTGAGCACGTGTGCTGTTCATGCCACGTTCTAGCCTAGGCCATAGCCTAGGTAGCGGAGCGTGCGAACAGTGTAGCTGGCGGCCGCAGAAGCACTGTGTGTGTGTGTAGGTAGCACTAGCAGCCGCGCGTGCGAATCGTGTAGCCTATGCCTATGGCCTAGATTGACACACTGAGTCTGTGTTCGACTACTATTAGTACTAAAGAAGAGGCACCTGGGACGTTTGTGTGTGTGTAGGTAGCACTAGCAGCCGCGCGTGTAGCCACCTAGCCTAGACCATAGGTAGCACTAGCAGCCGCACAAGCGCTGCGGACCACGTGAACCGTTCTCTGCAAATAAACATCTGCAACAAAAGGATACAAAAGATCTGCACTGACTGCACTCTGCATCTGATCTGCAGTGAAGAGCGCATCGCACTTTTGTTCTTTTAAGTTTATGAATGTTTTGAGCCACTTCATCCGCCACCAGGTGATGGACAACCCTGACCAGCCTCCCGAAGGCGTAACAGACGTCCCTCCTTCTCCTTCCAACGATGAAGAACCTCCCTCACCAGGACTTCAGCGGTCTGGGAAAAGACGCCGCCGGTCCTCATCAATAACGTCGTCCGACGATGAAGAGGCCATTGCCCGCAGACGCGAACAATCCAGGGTTCGAATGCAGAGGGCAAGGTCACAGGAAAATGAAGAACAGGCTGATCGCCGCAGACTTCTAAATCGTCGACAAACTGCTGCGACACACTCTCAGGAGACGCATGAACAAACTCAAGAACGTAGAGACCGTGACTGGGTCGGGTGCAGGAGAACAGGTGTACATCCCGAAAATACCCACGACATCCACCAATCTGCCATTCCAACTTCGACGTGTCCAGTTCCCACTCCGTGTCTGCTTTTGCATGACCATAAACAAGTCCCAAGGGCAGTCCCTGAAGGTTGTTGGTTTGGACCTAACAACACTATGCTTTGCTCATGGACAGTTTTATGTGGGTTGCTCACGGGTAGGTAATCCAGACAACCTTCACATTTTGTGCAATGACGGCAAAACGAGAAATGTAGTTTACCCGGCTGCACTACAGTGACTGCACGTCTGCGGGTGTGCCGCAGTACTTTGCCGACGATTTGTCGTCATGGCTGACTAATCCCAATAACTGAGAACTCTATACCTGATTCCATTCACTCACCATGCTGCGCATTACTGTTCGCATTATTGAAGCATCCCATCATCCCATATGCTGAACACAAGTACACTCTCTAATAACTGAGAACTCTATACGTGATTCCATTCACTCACCATGCTGCGCATTACTGTTCGCATTATTGTTCGAGGATGAAGCATCCCATCATCCCATATGCTGAACAAAAGTACACTCTATGTCCAAGCTGCCACATGTACATGTACGTACATGTCTCAACATGCATAAGGCACAATTTCCCAATAATTGGATGAGCCTTCACTATAGGGCTTGAAAGTGATGACGTCAAAATGGCCAGGGAGTAGTAAGTTGACATCAAATTTCTATTTTTGGATCCACTAAGGTGTGACTTTGCTATTGCCTAAGTATGTGGGTGCATAGCAACCCACTCATGTCGCATGCAGGTGTGACTTTGATTTCGCCACCAGTTGTAACCCCGCCCCCAGTAGCCAAATCAGTCACTTTCACTGGCTACATCACCATGCTGTGGGTAAGACCGCTTGAAATGTGCTTGGATCCATACAAAAACTGGATCCAAGTGGATCCAGTTTTTGAATTTTTGAAATTGTTGCTATGCTGTGACGTAGCACTTTCAAGCCCTATTGTAAATCTCAACTGCTGATAAACAACTACCCGGTACCCGGTCATGCGAATCGTGAAGCCACCACCACGTGCTGAGCACGTGTGCTGTTCATGTACTTGCTTCACCCGCATGCCACGTTCGGCCAGGCAACGCTGGCCGGGTGCTGCTAGTAAGTTATAGATCTGAAGCTTTCAAGTGACCAGTTACGTTTTGCAAATCAGACGGCCAGAAGTGGTTTTTTACTCCTGGAGAATAACATGTATGTACCTGTCCGATATCATCAGCTCTGATATTATTTTCCTCTGAGGTAAGGATGGATGTTTTCAGCAATATAGATACAATGCTCTCACTGTTAACTGATAGTTTAATGTTTCAGCATTTTCTCTTACGATTGTATGCCGAGAGATTCTGGAATGAGGATAGCCCTGCTCGCGTCAGATTGAGATAACCGATCAATGCAACTCTGAGACACTCTAGACCATCTCGCGTGTGTGTCTGTGTGCACGAATGTGTTCGTATCGGTGTGTGCATGTGTTCTACAATGTGTGTTGGTTGTGCCGAACTCCAGGACAGAGATCGAAAAACATATAAAGACTTACCAATGGATACCCATCGCCAGCCTGACCATTCCGATGACGATGCATCTGCCACCAGTGAGCATGATTGTCCTTTGCCAGGGACTGTTCCTGTTGACCTTACTGTTCGGGATGATGAAGTAGTGCATGAAGAACTGTCGCTAGAGGACGGAGCCGCGGGTTTGGGTAATGAATCTGAAGATGAACAGTCAAGGGCGTTGGAATCAGTCGATTCAGGACTTGGCAATGTTCCATTTGATGTATGGCACTCAACTCTATTACCTTTGCTGTCTATTGCGGACATCTTTCAGCTGTGTGGGGTTAGTAGACGCTTGAGAGAGCTGCTATACAATGAGTACACGTTCAAACGTCTTTGTCAGGTGAGTGCCAATGTGCGATGTTAATGATTAGTGAAATTTGGTTTCCATTATTCTGCTTTTAAAGTTCCACTTGGATAAAGCATGCGCATACGAGCCAAGAACGGTGAGTACGTTTTTCAAAGAGGCGGCATAAACGAAGAACTCGTTTTAAAATGTTAGAGATAAACAATATTTATAAATGCGCTGTCATATTGCAAACATTTCAACCAGAGTAGATTTGTATCCAGAGCTGTTTCTTTTCACAATCATCAGTGGCGTATCGTAACTAATGGGATAACAGAGAACAACCTAATCTTGTATGCATTCGGAACAGATTCAATGAAAGAGCCAAAAACATCAGCAAAATTGAATTGATTATTCTCCTGAAAGATAACGCTAGTTGCTAGAAGAGATAGATCGTGATTACTGTGTACAGCAAATGAGGTGATTGTAAACGGGAAAGTGTGATGGTGAGAATGAATAGTGAACGTGAAGTACAGGAAAACTGTGAGTGCAGTTAATTTTTGTTTTTCCTTACAAACTTCAGAAAGCGGAGAAGAATGTACACAGCTTTGTTGTATACTTTATTTATAGTGGAAATCAAAACAGGCAAAATGCCTACTGACTATCCATTGCTTGAAAGTACTATCACTTTGCACAACACTAAACAGTGATTTATCATACTGCTCTCGACAAAGAGGAGTAGGCAACAAATGGATCTTGACAGCAGACGGTTTCTCCTTCTTCTTCTCTTCCATCTTACTCTCTTCTCCTTCTTGGTCCGGCTCATCGCAATTGTCGCTTATCTATCGCCACTAAGAACAGGCGTTTTGTTGTCGGTCTGTGAAATTTTCAATAGGCATAGTGAGGAAGCATGACACATGAATACTCTCCGCGACAAGAAAAATAATTCAGCCATGGAATCAGGTGAAGCGAGTCATAGAAGGGAAGCAAGGTAAGCAAAAACGCTCGAAACAAATCAGCGAAGGAGCGCGTTTTTGCACTCACACTCTTACAGGTCCAGAGTTCATTCAACTCTCCTTCACTCGAGCTGCCGTTACATGACCTGACACTAGATTGATGTTGTCCAGCTGCTGGCGTGGACTGGTTGAGTATCTCTTACTTTGTCAGCCTGTCGTATGGCAGCAATGGGAAAGGAACAGTTGTGTCTGTCACTTCGGTCCTTGAAGGAATCGTGGGCAGAGTGATCTGTGTGTCACCACAGTGTGTTTCAACAGAGCCTTCGAATGAGGCACACATGCCTCTCCAGACAGCTGTCATACGCTCCACTGGATACGCTGAGACGATTCTTGTAATGCTGCTGCCAGGTCCACGAAGGAACAAATGGAACAAACAAAACGTCCCTCGCATGCGCGCATCGCATCGAAAACACCTTTCTTCATCAGCATGACGCTCATACTCGTAGATCTACTCCTCTGCCGTGCACGCGTGCCTGTCCCGCGATCAAGGATGTCAGTTGCCCCTGCTACAGTTCCGACCTTCGGGTCGCTGCGCTTGGCATTTGGCAACACAGACAGTGAAAGGCCAGGTTTCCACTTCCCAAAAAAGTCGAACGCATCGCGATTCAAAGCGCTATTCGCGATCATTTATTCTTTGGTGTCTCATTTGATCTTGCCATCACAACCGCCCAAGCAAAAGTAAGTTAGATATCGTGATTGGACTGGGTTTTACCTGTCAAAAAGCGAGTGGGAGATAAGCGACAATTGCGATGAGCCGGACCAAGTACAAACTTCAGAAAACGGAGAAGAATGTACACAGCTTCAAAGACTATCCATTGCTTGAAAGTACTATCACTTTGCACAACACTAAACAGTGATTTATCATACTGCTCTCGACAAAAAGGAGTAGGCAACAAATGGATCTTGACAGCAGACGGTTTCTCTTTCTTCTTCTCTTCCCGAATCTTACGTTGCATGTCTTTTCTTCCGAATGCGAAATCGCATGTGAAAAATGGCGCTCCTTATATTAGGATATCCTTTTTCAATGCGACAGGCAGTAAGTTACTGGCCAACAGCAGTGTTAATTACAGGAATGGTCGGATATCCAAAAGCTGAGTACAGAATAACTAATATAATCAAGACAAAAGCAGAGTATAAATTTTACAAACGGTCTACATTGTACTCAAAGGTGCAGCAGTAGCTTTCGGCCATTTTTATCAAAGAAGCAAATACACCTCCACAACATGCGCTTCCTGGCAGACCTCATTGCATCAGCCACATGATTCCAAGTGGTAGATACTGAAAAATAAAAATGTCCTCCATACAGCGCTGTTCCGACCACTAATATGCCATTAGTGAAGCTTGAGAATGATGAATGGGTAAAATTAATTTGAAAGCCTAGTTTACACGTAGAATGAGATTTAATGAAGAAGCGCAACGCCGCGCTGTTGCATATTGCTGGTGTCATGAGGTCAGCCAGAGCGCATTTGATGGAGGTGGAATTACTTCATTGACTTCAGTGTACATGTCATAATTATTGTGAAATAATCACTCTTGCGCAACAGTGCCGAGCTATTTTAAGATAGCATACCTGAGAATACCGAAATGTTTGGGACATCACCCACATTCGCTCAAATTTATAAAGTAAGTGTCCTTTGGGGTCAACAACAAACATGCGAAAGGGTTCGTTGCAAAACTTACGGACACCCTGGAACTGGGGACCACCTAGAAATGGGCCCTTAATACGACTGAATTTTTGGTCGAAAAACGAGCGCTGGCCTACAGAATGTAGCTAAGAACAAACCACCCACCATGTCAACATTATTTCCCTGAGTAGTCTTCACATCCCCACCACATAGCACCATGGCCACATCTAGGAAAGCAATGACTATATCCATCATCTCCAAACAATTATCATGAAAATCGCATCGCTAAAATAGCCAAATTTCAAAGGCCATAGCGGGAACCATTAACGGCGTCTATTTTCCTGAGCCATGTACTGCAGGACAGTGAGCTATCTCCACTTTCACACTGGACATGTCTCGTAAAAGGTGTCCCACGTTTTATGGAAATACACAAATTTGAATACTTGCAATTATCCACATTGCAACATTGCCAATTTCCTACCCGACGACGTAAAGCGCCTCCTCAAGCTTCAAAACCAGGCACCGCTCTAGAAGGAGAGCCAAGGATATATATATAGAATGTCCTACGACACCACCAGTTACTAAACCATCCGCTCATGCGATAACACACAGAACGACTGATGTGATACTGACACTCTACGTCATGGTGCTGAGCTGCATCATAACGTAGAAACTCCCAAGTGGGAAGGCTGTCGGCTCAAGCTTTCCAGATGGGAGGCAGCTAAGCGTCTCGCATATCCTACTAATTCACATAGCAATTTGGTCTTCGCTGCTACCCCCAACCAAACATTGATGCGCCCACCACGAGCCACTAATCCATCTCTCCGATACCTCTATCCAACTGCTTCCTCCTCTTTATCTCTCTCTCTTTTCCCGTCTCTCTCTCTCTTTCTCTTTCTTTCTCTCTCTGTCTCCTCCCTCTCCCTCTCTTTCTCCATCTCTCTTTCTCTCACTCTCTTTCTCTCTCTCTCTCTTTATCTCTCTCTCTACCCCTCGCTCTCCCCTGCTTTGGGATTTGTTTCCAAAAAATTGGGCAGCATTACCCGTTTTGCCTTGCAAAGTAAAATATACATCAATCACAACAAGAATCAGGTCGTTGAATTGCGGTATCACATCAGTCATTTTTGTACTAATTGCTACACATATTGAATCACCATTTTCCGGCTTATAATCGTTTGTAATTAAGCAATAAATAGAAGTAACTTTGACGTCATCACCAGGTATCTACGACGTCAAATGTTTTCAAGAATCGATTTTCTTGTCACAATCATCATTGGATAATCGTGACTGACGTGAAGGGAAGCCAAGCAAAAAATAAAAGATATTCAAGTATGCATTCCAAAATGTGCGTCAAAATTGGAATTTGACATTTGACTTTGATACATGGTGATGACGGCAGAGTTAGTTCTATTTATTGCTTTATTAAAACTGTAGTCTCCTCGGCGTTTATTCACAATTGTTTGTGTTGGGACGAAACGGATAGCTTCTAAACTTATGATCCTCTCCTTTTCAATTCGCATATTTTACAGCATATTTTACTATCTTGTTGTTGTTCCGTTGCCCCATGCATACAGCACCGGTATCACCTCAGTCCGAGTTTGAAAATGTCCTACATTCAGAGTGCCAAAGTCATCTACATTGCCACCAGGGTAGCCAGTCTGCATCATAGCGAAAGTAGGGAGTTCATGAGCTGCGTGATTCGTAGCAATGATTGTCAAGTTTTCGAACACAAAATGAGGTCCATTGTACGATTATCAAGCCTAATGATGAGGCTGCCTGAGAACGTGAATACACCTACTAGCTGGACCAGCACTGGGCAGTTGATGTCACTCGCACATGAGCAGTGCCTGTACGCGGAGGAAGCTTGTACTTACCTTCCCAACCTTTCACCGATGTTGATCAAACAAAGTTGCAATGTGCAAACAGGTTTATATGCTACAATGTATAGACTCCAAGACGTTGTGAATTTGTCGTTTGAGAGTTGCAGCTCCATTGAACAGTATCAGAGAGGTATCATCACGGATTTAGAGAAGGATGTTTCAGAGATTGTTCCATACTTGTCCTCCGCGAACCGCTCTAGCCGGCTAGTGGGCATTGCGAAAGGTTTCTACAACACCGCGAAGCGAGATGCGATAGTGGTCTCATTACTAACAGATGGGTGGTATACGGCTTCTCTCATACAGTCCTTAGCTAATTCTTGGACCTATAACCCCTTCTATCATAAAGCTATCGTGAATGCGACCATTGATGTGGTGCCGGGCGATGACACATTTGCCACCCGACAGTGGATTGACGAAACTGCTTGGCTCGCAACAAGACACTCTGTGATCAATCTGCTGGTCAAGGGAAATCTACGCACCGAACAGGTCGAGGATTACTTCACGGCTCTCTTGGTGTACACCAAGCTCTGGAAGAGTTTGCCACGGTCCAGTCGCCCCAGGCTTGACGATCTATACAGTGACTTGGGTACCTACATACTTGGGCCATCACCAGCGTCTCATTCGCAAAGGATGATGAGCAGCGTTGAATTGCTTGACGCGATGCAACGGTATGGTAGTGAATTTGCTACCAATAGGAACCCGAAAAGCTGATTTGTATCTTTATTTCGATTTTGATGGACCACTCGCCTAACCAAGTTCTACACAGTCTGTCGTCTGCACACTCTCGATGACTGTCTTGAACTTGCTTACTTGTTCAGTTCAGTTTTGATATCACATGTGCACTATTGGGAGCTGACTGAGTTGCCTATTTTGTCAACAATGCATTGTTTCCTCTCAGCCTAAAGCTCCAACCAATATCATAACTCACTTTCACTCTTTCTAAAGCTTCTTAAGCATGAATCATGCACCGCCGATACTGCTCATACAGCTGTTTAATGTGTGGACCCCGTTTCCAGTTTCTAGTTGTTCTTACACTTTGGATTTGTTTCATAGTCTATGCTTCTAAGGTCACATGTATCTCTTTTTGTGGCCTTGTACTTCTGAAGAAATCATCTCTGCATCCAGCATTTTGACACCCTGCCATTGAGGATCTATGATGATAACAAAGATTAATATTAATGTTGCCTCCTGTCATTAGCTTGTATGGTCGTAGTAGTTCATGATTATCAGCTGAACACATTTTTGGTGACCAGGTTGGCAAGGTTCATTACAAACTGTGGTGGCTTTTGATATTGTGGGTATATTAACCCTACATTGAAATAGCTTGAAACAATGACCTGTAGATTAGACGAATGCCTTATGTCCAAGAACACGAAAAAAGCTGGGCTTGGCTATCTCTCAGTATTTCGCTCAGTTGTTGCAAGTGAGTTTCCTGTAGGATCTGTTGCGTACCTTACGGGGACCTTGGACGACCTCGATTGGGGCCAAAATGCGACTGAATTTTGGGACCAAAATCAAGCGCTGCCACAGGGAACACAACGGAACTAAGAACAAATCCCCACCATACCAACAGTAGATAGGTTCTGCATAACCAATTTCGTCTCTGCTGATGACGAAAAATGTGACGAAATTTGAGGCGCGAGAATTCAAACGCCGGTAGGTTCTGCAGGACGAAACTTATTTTCGCCCCTTTTTCAATTCTGCTTTTCTACTATTTTTTCTGACTTCTGTCTCCGGGGCAAAAGCACTTTTTTGAGTCGTGAGGTGATGTCCGTGGCGTGGGTGTAGGAGATGTTGGTTGATATAGCAGATGAATACAAGGAGTTGTTGTGTTGTTTCCTACTACCGGAATACAATGACGGAGACCTCGAGCAAGATGAATTGTTGTTTCTTGTCACTGGAGTCTGCAGCGGATCCACACCATCATCTTCGATCACCACACGCCGTCTACGACCTTCCATTGTAAGCTGAAGCTGCCACACTGAGCGACGAGCTACGGAAATGGAAAGTAAAATCGACTCAGATCAAAGCCAGACTGTACAAGTACGTAGAAAAGGTATTCGGAGTGAACGGAAAGCGCACCGAAAAAAAAGTTTTAACTGGTTTGAGGGAAAGAGAAAAAAAGTTAGCTGTAAATTCGACTTTCCCGCCTCCTTAGACGAATCTTTGTCCAATCTTTCGCTGCGCTTATGGTGATGAAAAAATGCTACGAAATTCGTTATGCAGAACCTCTCTATCAGTACAGTCAGATAGTGCGACAACGAGATACATAACGGTTAACTGGCAGTCATAGTGAGACGCCCTCCTGTTATCAAGCGTTTTAAAACTACCGTTCAAGTCTGATTGGATCAATCACAATGTCAGCAAAGCAATTCGGAAGTATAAATTACCCGTGAGGGTTGTTTACGAACATTCTGGCAGTCTTCATCGCCAACTGGGTCGCTCTGAGGCCGCGAACACAACGTCGGAGAGACTGAGAGATCATTGGAAACTAGACTGACGGATCATAATGGAGAAAAACCGCCGTACCCCCGGCAAGCCCTGGGGTGAGCACATGCGCACCAACTTGTGACCAAGCATGCCCAGAGGAGACTGGCGCAGGGGGGTACTATTTTTGCGGATGTGTAAGTATTATTACTGAGTATTAGCCAGAGAAGGTGACAGAGCAAGTAGGAAGTTGCGAGAAGCTGTGGATATAAGGAGCTTGGTACTACAAGGTAACACCAACCCTGGCTGGGTAATTCTGTGAGCAAAACAGAGAGATTCCAGGCTGTCCAAAATAGCGCTCAATACTGAGAGGCAGAGATTGTTCACATAATAAGAGGACAGAGAAAGTGTTTTTACTCCCAGATTCACGCACTAAGCGATCATCAGGAAACAGTTCCTGTTTTCCCTGTTTTCTGAAGATCGTTCAGTGCGTGAAACTCGGAGTAAAAACGCTTTCTCTGTCCTCTTATTGTGTAATAGTGTGAGTATGACAGATCGCTTAGTGTTACTCATCACCGCACATGGAAAATATTACTGTGCGTTGAGTGACTCACTCTTGATTATATGGTACTCAGATAGCAGTCATGTTCCACATAGCAGTCACGGTCCCCAAAGTCAGTCATACAGTCAAAATCACTCACACACCAGTCACAGTTTGCGTCTTTTGAGAAACCAGTTGTGGTGCCCACAAACCAGTCACAGAATGCCGCGACTTGCCCTCAGCTCTTTGCGATCACGCGTACACAGAGCCAGAATACATGCATGTATGGCGTGCAAGTAGTACTGCTTTATGTGTCGAATTATTGTGTCCGATTCGATATCAATATTTTTCTTCATCTACTGACATCCAGCGTAAGGGAAGTGAAAGAGAAGACAAGAAGCAGTCGCTGGCTGGTGAATAACGCCTGCTGTGACGATTTTAGGCCATCGCTGCCCTCCCTCTCGCTCCTGTTTGGAGAGCGAATACTGCGATGGGATTATTATTTAGAATTATTGTATCCGATTCGACATCAATATTTTTCTTCATCTTCTCACATCCAGCGTAAGGTAAGTGAAAGAGAAGACAAGAAGCAGTCGCTGGCTGGTGAATACCGCCTGCCCTGACGATTTTAGGCCACCGCTGCCCTCCCTCTCGCTCCTGTTTGGAGAGCGAACACTGCGATGGGATCAGCGATACAAATTAATAAATTTTGCAATTTCGAGTCGCGTTTTTTGCCGACATCGCCACAGCCGATCTCTCCAAGCGTTCACCACATATAGAAGACGTCGACATTGCCTGGAACAAGCTGCATCCTCCCTACAAGCAGCGAAACTGAGCGAGAACACGATCAAAGTAAGGTCCTGGGAAAATTATTTGCGCTGAAAAGCATACATTTGAACGCGTTCGTTCTCCACACGTTCAAAATAAATGACAACCTACCCATGTCATACATCAAAGCTGGTGAATTGTTTTTGGCTCTCTGTGACTTGTTTGTGACTGGTGACTTGTATAGGAGGATTTGTGATTGTATGACTGATATCAGGGGCAGTGATTGCTATGAGAGGCCTGACTGGAATCAGAGTTCTACATAATATGTGCACTGAGGTGACATCTGACACTAGCTGGTATTTTTGCAACACATCATACACCAGTGCACTGTGCATTATCATGTTGTTTTAGTGTGTGTGTGTGTGTGTGTGTGTGTGTGTGTGCGTGTGTGTGTGCGTGTGTGTGTGTGTGTGTGTGTGCGTGTGTGTGTGTATGTGTGCACATGGGTGTGTCAGTGAGAATGGGTGTCTGCAAGCCAACACTTCGGGGTTTTCGAGAATTTACCACTACATTGTCGTCTTTGAATAATTGTTGTCGGTAGCATACTTCTTTAATTTTATCATTATCGTTATGATTCTGGCACGTCACGGTGGGTGCGATGTAGCACATCATGGCATCACAAATTGCATGTATACAACTGCTCCTTTGCAAACTTTCACACCGTTGCATACCTGATGAGGGCAATTTTTCCGAAGCGTTGTAAGAAATTGTTAAAAAAATGAGTTCGAGTTTTGCAGAGTGAATGGGAAGAAAGCGAGTCTGCTCGAAAGCCCTATGTCATATAGATTTTTGGTAGGAGGAAAGCAAATCAGCACACGAAGCACAGAAGCCATGATGATTTTTTGACTAGGCCTTTCATTCCATTACTCTTCAGGTCGAATACAAAGGTGATTAACAAGGTAGTAAACAAGTCCTTATAACTGGCACTTTTGGCGGGTAGAGCATTGACAAAAATAGCACTTGAAAAATAGCGCTAGTGGCGCCAACAGCACATTTGGCGGTCCGAGCATAGACAAAATAGCACTATAAAAATTGGTGTCCATCTTCTAACGCAATGGCCATCCCCTGCATCTTGTTCGCTCCCGTTGCTCGGCGACCAGTTGGCCATGTTCATGCAGAAAATTCAAACAATTGTCCAGCGCTATGTTCCACTCTGCTACCCAATCTGTTGTTTCACTACCCGGAAGATGTTTTCCACCACCAACAAGGATGTCCTGATGTATTTAAGTAATGTCATTTATTTAATCACCTGACAGTGTGACCAGAGGTACATTGGCAGGACAGCACAACGATTGGGTGACGGCATTAAGTTGCACATCCCCAACAAACTCGTACGGATAGGTACAGTAACAACAACACCGGTCAGGACAGGGCCGAGCAGTCAAGGACATCACCGTGTCCGTCAAAAAAGAGAGAAAAAAACCAACACCGATCAAACCACCATCAACTGTCACGTGACGAAGTGAACGGCTGCGTCTCCGCACCAACGCTCTGCAACAAGCGACTGATACAGGACCGGCATAAGGAACAGTGTGTGACTCCTCGCCCGGCAGAGGCGTCGCCAGCCGCCCAACTGCGATGCACAATAGCTACCACAGGAATGGACCAACGGATAATGACGATATTGAGAGAGACTCAGCGATACTCCGTCATCTGACATCGTCACCAGCCTGCCTAAGTGCAGTCTGCAGACATGGCGCTCACTCTCACTTCGCCATTCAAGTGCGTGCGCGCAACAAATCTCACCTTGCTGTGCTGAATGCAGTGTACATTGCCAAGCTGAAGCCTGAACTGTGCGTGCAAAATAAGTATGTGCGAAAGTTGTCACTGTTGTTGACATTGTAGTACCGTGGTCCCCACTGTTGTCTGATACTGGTAATAATCATTGTCCCGCTGTGTAATTGGCGTCACTAGCGCTCTCTTTTAAAGTGCTATTTAGTCTATACTCTGACCGCCAAAAATGCTGTTGACGCCACTAGCGCAATTTTTCAAGTGCTATTTTTGTCAATGCTCTGCCCGCCAAAAGTGCCGGTTATAAGGACTTGCTTACCACCTTGTTAATCACCATTGTACTCGACCTGAAGAGTAATGGAATGAAACGCCTAGCCGAAAAAATTATATGGCTTCTGTGCTTCGTGTGCTGAAACCCTATGTCCTATGAATGAAGGGTTCAGTAGATGAAAGGAAGTGTCTTGTTGACTGACTGAGTGGACCTTCATCATTGAATGCAAGGTTACACAGTGCACAGTTAGCTCGATCGCTTCCAAACTATTTTTTGAAAGAAGAAGACAAGATCATGGGTCGCGTAAGGCTCAGCCAAAGTCTCAGTTTTCCGCATCCACAGGAAGGCCACCACCCTGCAGGATCATTTGAAAGAAGGAAATCCATTGTAAACTACTTGTATTTGATATGATTAGGAGGACTTCAAAACGAAAAACATCAGTTTGAGAAGTGAACTGTTTGAGAAGAGAAAACAGATAACTGCACTCAGTGACTCTTAACATATTACAATCTACGTTTTAT